CAGACCGAAGACTCATGGGCTCTTTTGGATCACGTGCAGCCTGGAGCCGGACGCTCCCCAGGGCTTTACCGTATTAACAGGAGAAGCGGCGCAAGTGAAATTAGACACAGCCATCAGAAAACATGCGGTAATTTATAAATGTTTTAAATCAGGTTGGGTCTGGATTAGCCAGCAGGTGGGTCCAGATGCATAATCCGTGACCTCTGACCTGGAATATGATCGCCCCTAAGAGCCTGCATAAAACACTAGTCCATTTTGAGCTTAACATGCTATGAACACCACCTGCTAATATGTGCATGTCCTGATGGTCTTAGCGGGTCGCCGTCACGGCCAGGTAGATGTAGGCAAAAACCTTTCAGGAAAGTTAAAGCCCCATAATATAGTTTAATGGTAGTTCTACCTACAACCACTAGATGGTGTACATGTGTTTCTTTATGCCTATGAATCCTGTTCCCTAATGTTAGGAACATTCTGTTGAAAAAGGCAAAAAAAAAAAAGGTTTGCTATTCAAAAAAATAAGAGAAGATGTTTCTCTCCAGAACATGAGGATCAGTCTGCTGATAATGATTTATTTTCCATATATTCTACATTAATTAGGTTCATTGTCAATGTAATGCAACTTTCACCAGTGGGAAAACAATCTAGAAATAGGTAAACATTTCTTGAATTAAGTGTATTTACCCTTAATTTCAGTAGGTAAATGAGGTAGTTTGCCAATGGAATTAGTATTTTTACTCTTAAAATAAGATAATATTCACTTGAAATAAGACAATTTAATTGTTTTTTTCTTATTTTAAGTGTAAATTTTCTTTTTCCACTGGCTAAATGTCTCTTTTACCTCCTCAATCCAAGAACAAATTCACTTATTTTAAGAAAAAATGATTTATCTAGATTTAAATTTTTTCCAGTGCTGCCTCTGGCACAAGACTCCCTTAAAAGAACGATTTTATAATCTCAACGGGACTTTCCTGTTTAAATAAAAATTTAAAAATGAAATAAAGAGGAACTGCTGTCAGACGAGAGTGAAAGATCCCAGGAGTATGGAGAGGAGCAACTTCATTTGTTTTTCCAAGATGTTGTAGGGTGACAACATAGCTGCATGTATAGTTTAAGTGAGTAACTTAATTTGGATGACATTAAATCGATCTCCGATAATAAAATAGAAAATATTGCTAAAATGAGAAATCTCCTGTCCAGGGGTGATGCTGAGAAACTAGTCCATGCATTTGTTACTTCAAGGCTGGACTATTGTAATTCTTTACTATCAGGAAGTCCACAAACTGTAGTTAAAAGCCTTCAGCTGATCCAAAATGCTGCAGCCAGAGTTCTAAGGAAAATGAAAAAGAGAGATCATATCTCTCCTATCCTGGCTTCTCTTCATTGGCTTCCTGTTAAATCCAGAATAGAATTAAAAATCGTCAC